TGCAGTGCTGCTTGGAATGGCGTCCATTTTGGAATCACTGTTCTGCAAAAGGTCGATCGAAGCAAAAATTATTCGCGACAACGTGAATTGCGGGGATTCCAAGCTCCAGACTATGATATTGAACCCGAGATGACACTTTGTAGGGCGACGACAGCAATGCAGGTGACAAGGCATGACTGAATGTGTCCGCCTAGCAGGCGAAATGTTTGCGGAGCAGCTGAGCCTGACGTCACTCTTTTCTGTGGAGAAGTGGTCAGCTGTGGCATGATCTGGAGGCGACCGCGAGGTAGAGACACGGCTGGTGCTCCCAGCGCTAGAAATGGCGCGATTGTCGGCCTTTGTGAATAGTGCTAGATGCAGGTGATCTAAATTAATGAAAAGTGATAGTTATTCATACATCAGTTGCATTTTAGGTTATGGCGTCTATAGTTACTTGCTGACGCAAAAATCTTGGCACGAGTAAATTTGATGTCAGTGCTCCTTTAAAGCCTATCATAAACTGCCGTCAACTACCACTCATTTCTGAAGGAAATGAAAAAAAGAAAACAGCAGATTAACAGCAGATAACTTGGGCGAAATGGCATTGCTAAAACACTGTAGGCCTCGCCTAGCCTTTCTTAATGGCGCCGCTGCTGATGCTCACGATGGCAATGGAGGCTTTCGACTTCAGCTGCACGTTATAAGACTTCCACATTTTTTTTATGCCAATGATCGGTACATAAGACGGGGGTCGACTTTTCATTGCGTATTTTTGAAAAAGAATTCAACCTATATTTCGGTTTTTATGGTACTTAAATGGGCATCTATGTACGATGTCACAAAACTTGAGAAGGAGCGCATCTACATTGAAAAACTCACTACAACATTCAAATTCCTCAATATATAAGGCTAAAATCTCCAGTACAGAGGTGCCATCATCATTAAAAAAGTTTAAAACAGTTTTGATCTCGGGTCTCGGGTTTTGATCACAGCTAAATTTGGGCGACTTCAGCAGTTTTATGGTCGGAAAACTCTTCACTGACTTAACGTTTTACACCGCCTGACAGCAGCACACAACCCCATAATGAACTGGGCTGCAGCTAACTCTCTTTCATCTGATCTTGCGAAACTTCAAAACATGGGTGTATGGGAATACGGCCGCTTGCAGGAAAAAAGCAGTGTTTGTGAAGTGATATCATAACGCGTAGAAGGGTATGCGAGCCATTAGCTGATGCCTGCAGGAATAGCACGCACTAGCGCTCGCGGCTGCGCCCTTCATAATCAGTGTTCATAGTTCCTGATCCAGCCACTTCTACCTGATTATCTCTTCATACTCATTCGTCCAGCAAAAGACAAGCAGGGCTTCCTATCAAGTTAAGGGGCATTCGAAGGGCAGGCATCGCAAGCGGATTGATGTTATCGCATAAGCCCTCCGTGTGATGGAGAGGGGTAGCTTGTTTCATCTATGCTTCAACAGTGTTTCTTGCTAGCTCTCCCCTGATTTTATCCGCGGGAACAGCCTACTGAGTGCGTACAAAAGTTATTGATTTGGACTTGATAAGGTACATGACAGCAATGATGAAAACCTCTGGAGAATGCCCATATAGTTTTTCTCGCAATCGAAAAATATACAAAAACCGGCGAAGCGGGCTGGCCTTTTTATGTAGAGTTGCGTCGTCTATGTTGTAAAGAATTTGTCCGTTGAGAGAGGGAAAATATGTGAGCGCTAAGCATTGAGCCTATCAGGACTTAGAGCTTAAGTTGTAGGCTACACTTCATTATTTCCACTTGCACAATTGTAATCTCACAAAAAGCAGACAAATTGCAAGTTTATTTTTATTTATTTATTTATTTATTTATTTATTATACCCTCAAGGCCATGGGCATTGAAGAGGGGAGTGGGAGTAACAAGATGTACAAAACATAGAAAAAACAGAGCATGTGTTTAAATAGAAAAAACATAGATTATCCTGATTATACAATATTAGCTAATGCTTGATGAAACAGGTGATTAACGCGTATGGAAACAACATCGGCGGGAAGGTGGTTCCACTCTCGGGATGTTTTTGGAATGAAAGACTCAGCAAAATATTTAGTGTTAGATGAAACAACTCCAACTTTATGATTATGGTCAATTCGACATGATATGTACTGAGGTTGTGAAAGCAGTTCAGCATGGAGAGAAGCATGGTAATAAATCTTATGAAATAAAGTTAGGCGAAAAATTGTGCATGAGGAAGAATGTGAGGAAGAACAGGGGGAGGGTGCACGCAGGTATGCATGGAAAAGCAGGGTGACAAACAATTTACAACTGATATTTTTCACATATGGACCATTCGGCCAGTATGGGCCCTAATCATGTCACGTGAATCATCGTTCTGGCATCACGAAGAGTGCCAAAAGAACGAGATATGCCAAGAGAGAATAACACGCTTGATTGTGTATCTTCAGGAGCTGTTTTAGGGCATGCAAGCACTTACACAAGAGAGTAGTCAAGACACCGCAAAGGCTGCTCTGAAAATCTTAAAGCTGCAGAAAAAAAGGTGAATCGATGTATTTTATGCCTAAATTTCCCGTTTGGATTAAAATAAGACAAAGAGTGGTGCACCGCAAGTATTATGCGTGGGCGGCGCACTGCTTTAGTGAGTTTCTAGGAATTTTAAACCTGTTTAGTACAGCTTTAGTAGATCACTCTTAATACCTAATGGATTAGTGCAGAGGTAATGAAAACTGCCATATATACTTGCATAATAAGCGCACCCCCCATTTAGGTTGTGAGATATCAGAGTTGACAAAATTTTTGCGCTTAGTAGGTGCACCTCAAACTTGGTTGTGTAAAGTAGTTCTGTGCCATGTTTGTACGGTTGCAGTGCGACGCCCTCTTACTTAACTTCATTGAAGAATTGAAGAGAAAAGATCACGACAGTGCTGTGTGAGCTCACCAAGTTAGGGAATAAGAAGGGTGGTTGCCTGGGTTTCGGAGTACTAACCTTTGCACAGGCACCGGCATAGCTCCGGCCCCGTTCGCTCTTGATCACGTCCTTATCAAGTGCATTTTGAGTTTCCTGTTGGGAACAGTATCGTCATTATTGTGTTTACTATTTCGTCCGTAAATTTAAAAGCTATTTGGCTTTCCAACAGGAGCTTTCGCCTTTCCTGCCACAGCGTGGACTTGTGATAGCTCGGTAGACTTATGTCGTCATTTATTTCCTGGCTGCAAACCTAAGCATGGTATCATGGGTGCTGCTTTTGGATCACTGCTCAATGGCGATCTCTTCGGTGCCCAATTTTCATGTTGTGTTCTACAAACTTCCTGCGACAACATGCAGAACCTTACCTAATCTGCATCGGTCATTTTTCGGTAGAGGTTGCAAGTGATCAGTTGCGGATTTGTATGGAATCAACGTTACTCATTGCGGTGGCTCTACTTGAAGTAAACGGGGTATGGGTGGCACTTCTAACACTCGAATGGTGGTTCACCATTCCTTTGCAGTGTTTTTGGATATGGGACACGAGCCCACGAATGAAATGAATTGGTACCATTCAGCGCAGAAAATTTCAGTCATGATAATGCGCATTACCTAAGTGGCCTTTCCGCAATGGTGGTTTCTTTTCGTAGTTCTTTTTTATTTTCATGTTTATTTTGTTAGCAATGCATGTGGCTCTCGATATTAATTTTCGGAAATTTGATTGATATGCAGGATTTAACGTCCCAAAACCATCGTATCACGATGAGAGTGGTCATAGTGATGGGCTCCGAAAAGTAGGACCACCTGGGGTTCTTTAACTTGCACCAAAATTTGAGCACACGAGCCTGCAGCATTTTCACCTCCGTTGAAAATGCAGCCGTCCGAGAATCGCATGCCTCGATTCTCAGACATGCGAGACTGCGTGCTGAATATGTTATGTGTTAGTGTAGCCGAAGAAAACGGTTTCGGCTGTAGTGCAAGATATTAGTGACTTCAGTGACTTACAGTTTCAGTGGTCTATACTGTAGACTGAAATAAAATGTTCGGAAATTTTACCTTGCGTAACAGGTGCACGTCGAAATTGATGCCGAATTTTCTGGAAAAAACATGCGCCTAATATGTGAGTAAGTGCAGTCAATTATGGGCTTAGTAGGAATTGAGTTTTTTCTCAAATTACTTATCCTGACGCTTTCGTCCTTGGTAGTACATATGCAGGATGCTATATTGCCACTAGGTCTGCTACATTTGTTAATTTTAGAGTACTTTACATTCACTTAAGCCTGCACTGGGATTGCTGTCACCGGTTCCAAGTTAATGACTAGTCTTAAGGTTTCTAAAAACCATATCATCTTCCATAGTTTAATAGTTGTAACCTTCATTTCTTGTTTTCTTGTGTCACTAATGTAACTTAGGAGCATTGAGACGGCCAAGCTTGAGATTTGATTGTTCTGGTTTGTTTAATGATGTGAAAGTAGCCACCTAACTTTTGGGCACTAGTTTGATAGAATAGATGGGTCGCACAGTCCTGTCAAATTGTACTCGTATGCTGAGTTGTATTTGGTAATGATTGATTCTACTGATTAAATAGTCAACGCCGTGTTGAATGAACAACCACAGAGAGAAACACACATAGACACCACTGACACTGTAGACACCATTCTATGACTGCAGGAAACTGGAAAAAAGTTTCCTAATAATGGATGGGTGTCAAAGTGAAGTCTTTGTACACTTCTGCAGCATGGGAAAATGTATTCTGCAACCCGAGCTTCGAGATACAGGTTCATGTCATACAGTAAGCCGAGGAGGTGGCGGCCAGGCATGGCCTTACCGCCATTCCTGTGTGGAAATGCTCTTTTTAACATAGACTAAGTTGATTCTCTCTCTTACAGCAGTATGTGTTGTTTTCTGAAGTGTCCAGCTGTGCATGTATGCATTAGCATCCAGTTTTCACTAGAATGCTGGAAAGCCTCAATCAAATATAATCCATTCGTAAGACTGTGTGAAAATTCGAATAAGGCATGTGGTGCGTTGCACTGTTGAAACTGATTGCAGGAGCTGGATCCAAACAGTGCTTTTGTGGCTATGGCACTTCGCCGAAAGACCAATGGAGCAGTACCGAAGCCCAGTGTCACCTCTCTTGGTGCCATTCCCAAGACACCAAAGATGTCAACAGTACACCTCATCATTCGGAGCCAAAGGCTTGCTTGTATGTTTGTGCCTTATGGCAGGTCTTATATGTGCACCATTTTCTTTGATAGTTTGCAATGGGAGTCCAGCTGTGCCATTTGTGTCATTTTGCGGCAGTTCTTTTTGTTTGTGCCTTGCTACACCCATCTGATAGCAAATTGCACCAACTGCACTTAAGTTTCCTAGATTCACATGCATGCAAGACATTAGAGCATTGACCTGAAAATGTTCTTGATCTAGCACCAAGCACCAGAACAGCTTTTTTAGATAGCCTCATAACCCTTCCATATCTCTTTCCACCAATGCACACATTATTAGCATTATTCATGATTGAGCTATACAGTAGACTCTCAGTAAATGGTACCTGAAGGGACCGGGAAAATATGTCCCATTCAACAGGAGTTCCGTTTATCGAGAGGTGAGCATGGGTGCAGAATACAAGCCCATAACCAAGTATTGCAGAGGCAATAGTGCCGTTTAAGCAGTAGTTCCATTTAACAGATTTCTGTTTACTGAGAGTTTACTGTAGTTGTATTTAGCTTGCAAGGTCACCGTTTTTTCACGTGGAGCTTGCATCAATACATAGATCAGCCATTTCTTTCCTTGTGGTTATTGTTTTCTCTTAGCTCTATTGGTGATAGTAAAGTGCACTGGCCATATGCCTTACATTTTAAGCATTGCGTGCTGTGAGCAGTTACCTTAAAGTGGGATCTCAAGAACTGAAGGAACAAAGGACACTGCACAGTATAGTGCAGACCAACAAAAGAGCAATTATTTGCTTTTTTTTTACTGCAGTGGGCAATACAACATAATTTAGAATCGACAATGTTCGACATACCATGCCAGAACAACGAGGCGAGTGCAGTTTGCCCCTGCCAAAACCTTAGCCTTTGTCGTCTGTGAGTCAGGTTTCTCAAATAGAGGTGTATTCTGGTGAATGAGGAGTAGTTCACAGGATAGTGCAGTGTCCCCATAATGCATATGCGACAGCCAATCATGTGCGACAACGTTCAAGGGGGGCCAGTGCTATTCCTCATGATCCCGTGCAACCGTGCAACACTTCTTCAAGCAATCATACAATGTCTTCAGTTAAGGAGTTGGTTGCCTCATGAATCTACTGCCACGAAAATTTTTAAAATCAGTCAAGTACAATCGGAGTTGGAGATTTGTCGGATGCTTCAACAGCTCCTTCTTATTTCATACCAGTCAGCTTGCTGAAAGCTATGCAGAGGAGGGATGACAAAGGGGCAAGAAGCCACATTTATTCATCGGCGTGTGTCATTACCTTGAGGATTTTCTTTTGTGGCATCGTGGAGTGGCCATGGTAACTATGCTGCTCGCGATACTCAAGGCGGCTAGTGGCCAGGAACTTTGTATTTATGGCAAAGTTATTTGGGTTTCACCAAGATAATTATCGTCAGCCTGACTGCGCACACTGCAATGCAAAGGCCTCTCCCATGTTCGGCCAATCAACCTCGTTTTGTGCTTCCTGTCGCCGTGTCATACCTACAAACTTCTTAATCTGACCCACTTTGCTCTCTTCTTTTCTTATCCATGTGGGATAGTTGTATCGATGAAAGGAGGAACCCCAACATAAAAACATAACAATAGTTTATTCTACTAGCAGAAGCATTGGGCAGCATTCCAACGCTATGTTCATCTGGGTAGCAGAGCAATGGTGATCTTGCAAACTTGGCAGCATAGTTTTAGAGCCACCTTCGGTGATGTACGCCTCAGCCAAGTCTGCGGTGATGCTACGGCTTATCAGGATGCTGTGCAGTGTGCAGTTGTGTCATGCCAAGCTGGATGATAGTGAGGTGGAGGCTGCACGGACTTATGCGCACATTGTGTTGCCACATTGGCCCCCTTTCACCGTGAAGTGGAGAACCATCAGGGTTTGTAAGAATCTGTTAATCGTGTGCGAAGTCCAGAGCACATACCTGCCAACTCTTCTGATTTTCTCGTAAAATGTACAAATTCCGACCCCATTAACGATTTTACGAATCTTGCCTGAAATTTGACGAAAAATATTTCATTTTTGATGAAAAATAAAATTAGTAAAATAGCGTGACCTCCGCGATTGGCTTTGGCTCATTCGCATAGCTAGTCACAGAGGCCACAAAAACCGCATTGTGCTATATTCCGCCACCAAGAGAGAACAATATGTATTGGTGTCATCATCACATACCTGCTAAGTCTCTCACAATGTCTGGGAGACTTCCGGATTTGGACTATTTCTTCTGTTTGTACGGTTGCCATGAAAATTTTGTGGAAATGTAAATTTGTGTGCGAGATCTGGTTGCATTGACAAAAATGCTGGTCAGTCCGTTCCAGGCTTTTTGTGAGCTCATTGCGTTTTATTATAAACGAATTTGAGAGGCGTTCATCCAAACGTACAGTAGAGTCTCAGTAATGCGAAACCCTGGCAGATACGAATTTGTGAAATTCTTCAGCCAAATTTATGTCTACATTTGGCCAAAATTTGAATGTTCCGAACACTTTTCCTAATCGCGGCGTGTGATACGAACTTTAGTACCGAAACCGTAGAATGAAGGCCGATCGAGAGCAGCGTGCTCGAAGCTTTGGAAGTACGTGTATGACCAGTGCATCCACTGTCTTCTACAGTGCGTGTGGTGCTTGTTGCCACACCCGCTGCAAATGAAACCACGGTCATTCGACACGATCATGTATGGCGATGACGTTGCTGACAGAACTCCGAAAGTGTGTGCACGGCCAACGCTCGACCAGTCAAAGCAACGCAGCTTTTCACAAATTCTGTGGACGAAAACCGCAGCAATTGCGATCATAGATAGCATAAAACAACTTAGATTTGAAGGCACTTAGATTGCAAACAAAACTACCGTTTGCCGCAACCGCCGTGCACAAAATTGTGGTCATGGCGATCTAAGTGCTCCGAGGGCACGTGGCTGACGTAGTGGTAAATTAAAGGCGGTAAAGACGTAGAAAACGCTAGAAGCATTTTGGCGATCCTGTCCAAAGAATCTAGAAGCAAGGAAAGCCAAAGCTGTGACCCGCGCTTTCGCGGCAGCCAGCTGCGCGGTCCCGTTCATTCACGTGGGAAGACATACGCGATTTGTTTTGAGGGAAATCGATTTTTTCGCTAGTTGTTTTAATGGCGCGAAATTTTGTGAGCATTTGTGTTCCCCCTTAGAGACACTCACCTCTGTGGGAAACCCTACCCTCGTGTGTTCAGCCACTCCAAGTCATTAGGAGACCGCAATGTCGATGTTTGCACTTGCATTTTGGGGACTCCCCCTCCTCCCCCTCCTCTTGTTTTTTATGAAGTTTTTTTTGTTTTGTTTTTTCTTTTGGTGCCGAAAATGGCGGTAAATAATTCAGCGCATCAATTTGACTTATGGCGGCAAAACACGATGATGCATATCGCTAAAGGCAAATTCATCACAGCTACAAATTAAGTGAAAAGTCGGTAGCCCCTCCCCCCCCCCCCCCCTCTTCCCCGCTCTGGGGTTTTAAGAATTTTTCTGTTGCTACACAGGCAGGTATGAGAGCGTATGTGACAGAAGTAGGTGGCGATTTTGACGTTTACAGACGGGAAACTGTGGGAGCATTCGTGTTGCCTGTTTCACCAGAAGCGGTTTATGTTGGCCTCAGCTGGTTAATCAAAACCTGTACGTCATTCCCATTTATGGCCAGGTTGAACAACCAGGTAGTGTTTATGTTGGTTGGCTGGAAAAGCCGGCGAACGGAGTCGTCATAGAGGAAAGCGTGTGTGCACTTTGTTAGCTCCTTAAAGATGACTGGTGCAGGCTTATAGTGGTAAGCTGTAGGTGACGGGAACAGGGCGGCGATGGTGCGTTTGAGCCTGGCGACGAAGTCAGTAAGATGTTCCATTGTGCTGTTGGATGGCAGTGCAGCAAGAAATTCACCTAGAAGACTGAGTGGTTCTCTGTAAACAAGCCTTGTGGGTGTAGCCTGATTATCCGGCTTGAAAGGGGCGCGAAGACCTAGGATTATGGCTGGGATGGTTTTGAGCCAGGTCGAGTTTGGGTGGCACATGATGGCTGTTTGAACTGCTGGTGGAAGCTCTCTGTCATCTCGTTGGTGCAGGGGTAGTAGCTTATAGTCTGTAAGCACCCAAACCTGTTGGTCACTCTGAGTAACCTGAAAAAGATACAATTCGAACTGTCGTCCCTGGTCAGGGGTGGTGCAGTAAGGGGAGCTCAAGTGAGTGATCCACATGGGAAAAAAGGAAGAGGCAACTTCTTCTGTGGTGATTCTTTTGATGGGGCACGCCTCAGGCTGTCGAGTTTACCGATCGATGGTGGTGACGTAGTAGTAATAAGATCCGGCCAGGGAGAAAGGGGCCTATAATGTCACAATGGAGTGGCAGGGCTCATGGGTCGTCGCAGCGACGGGTGATGGGCTGTCATCCTGTTGTGTTGACAGAAGTACGAATTCCAACATAAAAACAAAAGAACGCTTTTTTAAGCTACCAGAAGCATTCTGGAGCATTGTAATGCTGTGCTCGCCTGGGTAGTGAAGCAACGGGGATCATGCAAGCTTGGCAGCCTGGTTTTAGAGCCACCTCACATGACATATGCCTCTGGCGAAGCTGTGGTGGCACTGGGACTTATTGGGATGCAGTGCAGCATTCAGTCGTGTCACTCCGAGCCTGATGATAGCGAGGTGGAGGCTTCATTAAATTATGTGCAAATTGTGTCACCACATCCTTTTAAAGGGCCACTCACCAGGCCCCATACCGAATTTTAGTTAGACAATGCAAGTTGTTGGGTGTCCAATGAGGAACATTTTGCCACAAAAATTTTTCGAGTCGGTTCATCGCGAGCGGAGAAAACAGGTTTTTTGAAGCGGTGTGAAACGAGGATGAGAGGAGGCGAGCTCAAAACCCTTGCCGCTCCTCCGCGTAGCCTTCGCAAGCCAAATCTCTTCCCCACCCTCTCCAGCATCAGACAATGAGGGGACGTGCGCATGACGTGCCCAAACAAGTCCAACCCCCGAACACGCGAGCAGCGTTGC